CCCACCCCCCGAACTCTGCAGTATACAAGAAAGCCTATTATTACCCTTATGGCATTTGGGGTTAATTGGGTTATTCCTATGCTGTAATCTAATAACAGCCCAACCAGTAATTCTGGAATGGGAAACCTAAGCCCTGCAATCAAATAATGCAGGTATATGGGCATCAAATGGTCTCGGGGTGCTGATCATGCCCTCTTATTCACCCCGGCAGGCCTGATTAAGACATGGTGAGGAAGGTTACAGTTCCCTACTAACCCCCTAAGGCTACTCCTACCAAAGTAGTCAATACCGTACCGGCATGCGTACCGGTTTTGTTACTGGAATGGTACGTACCGGATACCGAAATTTTTCGCGTACCGTTTCAGATTTATCGTTATAAAAAAATTTTATGAAAAATTTGGAGGAGAAGTTGAAGAAAAAAAACAAGAAAAGGACTCAATTGAAAAGATTAAAAAGCTGAGGATGAAATTTACAAAAACAAAGTCATAAGCCCAGCCCAATATTGAGCAGCCCATCCCCAAATGTAACAAAACCCTAGTTCTCTCTCTTTTAAAGGGAGAAGGAGAGGTGCGGCTGCCAAAGCAGCCAAACCCAAAAAAAGAAAGAAAAAAAAAGGAGAAAACAGAAAAAAAAACCTTGATTTTTCTCCTTTCTGCAGATCCACCATCGCCACCATCACCTCCGTTCTTTCACCTTGGATCTTCACCATCCCCTTGCTGATCTGGCTTTGTTTTTTGTTTTGTGTGGGTTTTTTTGGTTTGTTTTTTTATATGTTGCTTTGCTTTGTTTGTTTGCTATTTCTTGCTCTATTCGATGCAGATCCGGCGGCCTTCTTTCTCCTCCGGCGGCCTTCTTTCTCCTCCGGCGGATCTGTGGCGGCGCGCGCGAGGGCTGCTAGATCTGACGCCCACCGCGACGCTCCTGCTGGTTCCGAGGGACTATGGCCGCCTAAGGGTTATCGCCTGGGTATCCTGCGGTCCTGCCACCACCCCCCAGCCATGGCTGGGGATTCTTTTTTTTTTTTTTTTCTTCTTGCATA